TTATTTTGATATATCACAGTGAAAGATTTATCGTCCTCTTTTTTTTTTTTTTTTTTTTTTTTAAAAAAAAAAAAAAAAAAAAAAAAAAAAAACTGTAGAATCTCAGCACATACCCTCAACACACTGCTTTAGGTATGTCAGTCTACCTTTTGTAGACTCCAGCGACCATGGTGGTGTATATTAATAATATGCACATCTTTTAATCTTATATGATTACTTGTTTTCAGTGTCTAGAAATACCGGAGTAATTTCATCATTATAGAAATCAAAAGGTTACGTTCCCAATAGAGAGCATTCAGTGTACTAGGAAGTTATGAAATAAAGTCCATGAATAGAAGATAAACATCTCTCTCCCACCTTCACTTAGTCTTCTCTGATGTATTATGATAGGGTCTTATAGACTCCTCAGAAGACAATGGAATGTAGCCTTTCTTTTTTTTTTTTCACATCAGACAGGTAATGTGCCAGTGTAAAACAAGGTTTGAGGGCGGCACATGTCACACACGTGTGTGAACACTCAATCATCCACTTATGAACCACAAAAGGATCGGAATGTAGCCTTTTAAGAGCAAAATACTTATGGCCCTGGAGAGCTGGCTCAGAAGTTAAGAACACAGGCTTCTCTTGCAGAGGACCCAGGTTTGGTTTCCAGGACCCACATGAAAGCTGTGGTTGTTTGAATGAGAATGTCCCCCATAGACTCCAAGTATTTGGACGTTTTGTCCCCAGTTGGTGGCACTGTTTTGGGAAGTCTTAGAAGATGTAGGCATGCTGGCGGAAGCGTGTCCCTAGGAGGCAGGCCCAGAGAGTTCTTAAGCCTTGCTGAATTTCCGGTCTCTCTCTGCTTCCGGTGCCTACTTGAAGGTGGGAACTCTCACTTTCTGCTCTCGTCACTTCTTGCCACCATGCCTCCCTGCCATGACAGACTCTGATCCCTCTGGAAACTCAGGCTCAAATAACTCTCCTTCTAGAAGTTCCCTTGGATGCAGTGTTTTATGGTATTTTATCACAGCAACAGAAGAGCAATTAATACAGAAATTTGTACCAGAGAGTGGGCTGCAGACTGTGGGCAATGAAGAACCTGACCATGGGGTTTTGGAGGAATATGGAAGACTTTGGAAGCTTGGACTAGAAAAGCTGTTGCAAGCTGTAAACAGTACTTAATGGGCCATTCTAGCAGAAGCCTGGAAGAAAGTAGTGCTGAGAGCAAGGTAGTTCTGGACAGAAATAAGGACTTAAGCAACAACTGGTGATGTGGAGGAAGGGAAGTGGAGTCCACCCCCGGATGGCAGCTGATCTTGGCAGCATCACTCACTTTGTGCTGGCTTTAAAGGTATGAAAGATTTAGTGAAGGCGTCTCAGCTCTTCCTCCATGGTTTCAGAGAGCTGCTGAGGCCAGGCAGCATGTGGCAGGGGCACTCCTTCATAAAGAAGGTCCTCACAGGCCATTGTGAAGCTGTGAAGGTGAAACCTGGTTGGCAGTGGCGACCCCGGGAAGATGTGGGAGATGCTAGAGCTCTGAGACACCTGCCAAGGAGAGCTGAACACAGGGATCTTAGCAGCTCAAGAGACAGATGAATGTTGCTGCAGCAAAGCAGGAGAGGCTTAGCCGCAAAGCCCTTTGAAAGTAAAGTTCCGAAAGTCAAACATGGAGCTGCTGGATTTGGTACTCACCCTGCCGGTTTTCAGTCTTGTTTTGGTTAGGTATTTGCACACTGTTCCCCTATTCTTCCCTTTTGGAATGGGAATGTGTTTTCGGTTCCACTGTACGTTGGAAGTATGTAGTTTGTCTTTTGATTGTACAAGGGCTTACATTGAACAGATTTCCCTGAGTAAAAAGTAAATTAAAAAAAAAATTAAGAACAAAGTACATAGATTGCAACTGCTTGCCTTTTTATTTATAGTAACATTAATTTGATATGTTATTTAACCTCTGATTATCTCACTTTCTTCATCTGTAAAATAGAAAAAAAAAAAAAAAAAAAAAAAAAAGGAAATCATCAGTCTTAGTGATAAGAGGGGAGAATGGTGGTGGGGAGGGATAAGTCCCTTGATTGTGATAGAAGCTTTCTCATCTCAAGTAAGCAATAACTTGGGGGGCTATGATCCCTGACAATGAAATCAATGTCCCCCAAAGCCACCCTGAGTCATTGGCTTCTCTGTCCATTGTCTGTGTACTTAAACAATGAAGTTCATGGACAGGAGAATAGGAATTGTTCTAGTTTGCTTTTTTATTGCTTCGATAAACACCAAGATCAAAAGCAACTTAAGGAGCCAGGAACTCAAGGCAGGAGCTTGAAGCAGAAACCAGCAGCAGAACGCTACTTACTGACTTTCTTACAGGATCATGCTCAGCTACCATTCTTATGCAAGTCAGGCCCATTTCTCCTGGAGATGGTACCACCCATACTGGGTCGTGTGCTTCTACATTAATCAGCAATCGAGACGATGCCCCATAGACATGTCTACAAGCCAATCTGATGGAGAAAATACCTCAATTAAGGTTCCTTCTTCCAAAGTGTGTCATGTTGGCAGCCAAGATTAACCATGTTGGGTTTAGTATAGGTTATAGATGAGAGCTGGAGAGAAACAGCACACACAGAAATCCTGTATATGTGCTGCCACAAGGGTCTCTGTCTGTTCAGTCAAGCTGTCCCATCCATGTGCTTCTCCTTCCCATGTGTCTGGAGTTTTGTTCACATGTTCATGCACAGCTTTCATTTAAGTGGCTATGTGAAAAGAGAAGAAAAATCACAAGAAAACAGAGCAAAATCCAGTGGCACTAAATGTTTCTTACATTTCCTTTTTTTAATATTTTTTAAAATTATTTTGTATGTATGAGTATATTGCCTGCATGCATGTAAGTGGACACATGTCGTACAATGCTCTTGGAGGTCAGAAAAGGGCATCAGATCCCCTGGAACTGGAGTTATGGGCAGTTGTTAACTGCCATATGGGTGCTGGCTGCTAACCTCTGAGCCTTCTCTCCAGCCCCATCTCTGCCACTTCTGGCCTCCAGCCAGGACAAAACTGCCATCCGAAACAAGGATAGTTCTGACTTCTGGTCAAGGTCAAGAGGAAGAATGGTTCATTTTGGGGGTTGCTGCCCTGAAACTGACCCAACTTTTTTCTCCTGTTCTTGTCATTACCTTGTCCTGTTTGGTGCAGACTAAATCAGTTTGCACATGTAGCTCACTTATTACACTGCTGACGTGTAACGTGCTCTCAGTAAATGCTGGTTATCCTTGTTTGCTATAGACTGGATCACGAATGCAGCCCAAGGTTTTGGTTCACATCTCTACCACTCTCAGTCCATGATATTCTGGTGGCTTTCCCCCACACCAAAACATACATGTTTTTTCAAGCTGGGAAGGAATTCTGTGAGTGAGCCATCATCCATCAAGTGCATTTATCCTTTTGTGACAGTGATTGGTTCAGGCATGAGTACAAGAAACAAACCAAGGAAAGTCAAAGTAAACCTTAGGCCTTTGCTTGAGCTTTCGCTCTTCTCCTCTGGGTACAGACCTAAAAGGATGGAAGGGCTACAGGTAGATTTACCATCTCAGTCTCATGTGGTGGCTGGGGTTTACATGAGCAAACAAAGGCAAAAAGAAAAGAAAGGGAGTAAAAAATAGTGATGCTGTCCACTACACTCCTGAGCCAGCCATACTGGACTCTCCCCATTCCTGGTCTCCTCCCGTCACAAAGCCATCAGATCTCCGGTAGATTAATCTATGTTGGATGAGATTATATCTCACTCGCCAACAAGCAAGTATATAGACAAAGAAAGAAGACTCCCTGGTTCACATTTAAGGAATAAAGATATACTCCTGTTACTGGTCCTCTTCTTCTCTTCCTACATACTGGTCACAGGAACAGCCACTAATTTTTAGAGTTTTCATTGAAATGCTCCAGCTCATTAACTAGTTTCTTTCTGTTACAGTAAAAAGTGAACTCTGTCTCTAGGTAGAGACATGCACTGTCTCCTCCTTGAGTTAATCTAGGTGGACAGGTCAGTTACTTGGCCAAGGAACCACTGTTCAAGAAGGAAGGAACACCACAAGCTATGCTAGAGATAAGAGGAATAGTTATCCTATTAATGAAATAATGTACTTGTCCTTCCCATAATTCCCACCCTCCGGTGCAGTGCCTAGGAGCCAGCTTGAGGGTTCTGCTGGATCTGCTCAGACTCAGAAAGGCATAATTTTTCCTATTTCTTTTCTGCAGCTTTGAGGTACTGGCCAGTTAGTTAGTATGCCTTTTCTGATACTTTGGGCTTCTTTACTCTTTCTCTAAAGCTCCTTTCCCCACCATGTAGCTGTCTGCCATGTGGCTGACCTCCATGCCGACTTGGCTCAAAAGACACAGCTTGCTTTCTCTTCTCCATCTTCCTCTTCTGGGTAGATGCTGTGAATTATGCCATGCCTGCTCTGGGGCTTTTCTTTTAAACTCAAAGAAAATTGTTCTTAACTTCCTTTTGAGTCCATTCTTAAATCCTCTTATTAATGAGACTAAGAACTTTAAGACTGGACTCCCCCAAAGGGGACTCTACTGGAATATCCCAAAATTCCAGTGACATTTCCACGTGCCCTGACTTGGCAGAATGATTTTCAACCTGAGGCTGTTTCTTTCCAACATAGTAGACTATCCCCATTCTTTTAATTCTGGATTGGATAATATATGTTAGGGGACCTTACAAGTAAAATGTAGTAGAGAAGAAATTTATCTATAAGATTTATAAACAACCTTGTACACATTTTTCTTATCTATATTAACAAATCATGAATTCACACAAAAAGAACCACAATGTCCCAGGCAACTCTGGATCGCGTGCCCATAGATTTATTTTTGCCTACTCCCCTGGGGTGTATATGAACAAAAATGAGTAAACAACTATGAACATTTCAAATATTACTTATTTATAGGAATGGAGTTAAATGCAAATGATACCGGACTGCCAAGTCTTACCAAGTAGCTGAGTAAGCCACCTGGGAAATCAAGGTCTTCCTCCTCTTTTAGACCTATAGGCTAGATGTTTGCGTTCCCCTTTAAGTTCCAAAACTGCTTTTTGTGCGATGATCTAGGTCTATTTTTCAGCAGGTTTATAGATAAGGCCTTTTTCACTTTAAATCTGTTCATCTTGTTTGTGATCCAGATGACAGAAAGCAATTGCACTAAGTCCTTAAGTCTGTTTGCATACAAATGGCGCCTTCCAGGCCTGATTTACATTACCCAAGCAGGTTTTGTCTGGGAAATTCACTTTCCCAGACTTTCATGTGGGTGTCAATTTTCATCAAGGGTGAATCTATTAGCCTCCTTCATTTCCTGATTACTCAAGGCTTTATCAACTAGAAGGGATTTAACTTGCTTGAAGGATAAGCAATCCATCCATTTCTCCAGATATGGTAAATTTTCTCTCTGAATCTGGCTAGACAATCACAAAACCCTCTGATAGAATTGCTTTGACTGAATTGGACTTTGCTAGCGCCTGGATTTTCATTAAGGGCCCTGAATCAGTCTTAGAAAAACTTAGTCCTTACTTGTACCG